GTACCTGTGTCCTAAATAAACCTCTTGCTGTTGCAACCCAAAGACTGACTTGTCCTCCGTGGTCTCGCTCTTACAGTTATTTGTAGGTTAACGGGGAAAACTTCAACATGCAGCATTTTTGGGTCCTGAGGCCATTGTGGCTGAGGGTCCTAGGTGCAATAACTCCCATTATCCCTGAAATTACAGAACTGTTCAATGGCTGTGGGGGGGTGGTGCTGCAGATGGTGGCACTGGTGGTGAAGGGGGAGGGGGATTTATCTGGGAATCTTTGGAAGTTTTTGAAGTCTGGATTTTAACATCTGGGTCTGTGTCTTCCTCAGTCCATGAGGATTCGTAGGGGGGAAAAGGGGGGGAAAGGTTATTTTTGTTGATGGGTGGTTTTTCTCTGGAGTTCAGCCTGATCTACATCCAAGTTCCAAGCCAGCCAGGGCTAATAGATATACATACCCGAGAGAGAGAGAGAGAGAGAGAGAGAGAGAGAGAGAGAGAGAGAGAAAAAAAAAATACCCATTGTCCTCCACATATTACATACATGTACATGTGGAAATGTTACAGAAAAGTCAGAGACCACAGCTGAAGTCAGGTGAGGAGAGGGGGTTTAATTTTATGCTAGCAGGATTGACCCATGAATAAAAGGAGTCAGACCCCTTGTTCAAGTTTTGGAGTGTTTTTATACTCATATGTGAGGAATGCAAGCAAAAGGTACATAGCATATACATGCTAATTAAGCAAGATAACATAGGACTGCAAAGGTAACAGAAATGCAAAAGCTTTGAGAAACAAAGATTTCTATTCTGGGTAAAGGTTACAGGAATGTAATAGCTTTGGAAAACAAAGACTTTTATCCTGGGTAACTACAGGGAGCAGGGGAAGATTTCTGTTCACTTCCCCATTTCTATCTCCAAGTTTTTCCTGCTCCAAAGTTCTTAATTACCACCACACTGCAAAAGCTTTTAGCCTCTGACCTGCTCTTCCATTTCCATAATACTCACACACATACTTGTACACACAAACACATTCACACACCACACACACACACACAGAACAACTGTTAGAATACTTGTAGAACATGTGTAAGGTATAGCCTCTATAAATGTGGGTGAACTTTACACACACACACACACACACCCATACCTGTTTAAAGAATAGTGACAGCACTTCCCTAGCATGCCTGAGGCCCTGGGATTCAATCCTCAGCACTGCCCAGCCTCCAAATGAAAAAAAGATGAAGGAAGGAAGGAAGGAAGGAAGGAAGGAAGGAAGGAAGGAAAAAGGAAAGAAAGAAAGAAAGAAAGAAAGAAAGAAAGAAAGAAAGAAAGAAAGAAAGAGGGAAAGAAGCCAACTGAACCCAACCACAATTGTGTTTTAGGCTGTGAGCGTTCTCTTTCTCTGGATGCTGATGCTGCCCTCAGCACTAATCAGACACTGCAGTGATGTCTCATGTCCACCTCATCTAGAAACTATTGAAATGTTCTCTTAGCTCTGACTTACGGAACCATGTGAGTATATTAATTCCATAAGATCTTCTAGTTACTTGTCAGCTGCTTCTTCTGTCACTCGCACATCAAAAGTACCAAATTTTACTTAGTAAGATTACGTTTACACAGTTTGCTTAATATGACTTGTTAGAGGATACATAAGAAACGAAAACAAATTATTTTAATTTTTAAATTTTTTTATTTATTTTTATGTGTATGAGTGCTTTGCCTGCATGTCTGTAAATGTACCCATGTGGTGCAAAACTGGCAGAGGCCAGAAGATGGAGTTGGATCCCGAGGAACTGGAGCTACTCATCATGGACACTGGGAACCAAAGCCAGGTCCTCCATAAGAACAGCTGGTGTTCTTTAACCCTTGAGCCATCTCTCCAGCCCCAAAGCAAACAATTTAATTGTAATTTGTCTTCCTTTGAATTTATGACTAGAAAAACAATTCAAAAGAAGTCAGTGTAGCTAGGCACGGAGGCACACAGCAGTGAGCCAAGCACTTGGGAGGTGGAGACAAGGAGGATCAGTAATTGAGGGCCAGCTTGGACGACCTAATGAGCTCCAAGCCAGCCTGGGCTAAAGAGTAAGACCTTGCCTCAAAAAGCAAAACGAAACAACCAGATGGGCACTTCCAAGTATTCTGTAAACATTTTGGGCTCCAAATGTGAGTATTTTGAGTTTTATGTAATTTAGCTGAGTTATATAATAACCAAAGTGTAATGTGAAGACTGAGACTTGTGCTTTAAAACAGTAGGTGGTCCAAACCAATGATTTAGCAATAATCTTGATGTTGAATTGCTAACAGGAAAGCCTCTGCTTAGACTATAAAATAGGGAATTGTTGACCAAGGCCTGCAAACACTTTCGCTTCCTTTAAAAATGGGGAGGAGGTTTGGAGGGGAGTGGAGTGGAGAAGAGGGGTAAGGGGGTGTATTATAATAAAAGGGGCGAGGCAGCCGCCTTCCGGGTTCCGGAGACTCTCTTTTCTTAGTAAAGGACATTGGTGGGTGGGGTGAAAGCTGAGCACAACAAAAGGAAAACAGCCGCAGCCTCCGCAGCAAAGACCAAAACGCAGGCGCAGATTTGGAATTCAGCTTTGCAATCAACTGTCCTCTTAGGGAAGGGGCGAAGTGGAAACTAAGCAGCCAAAGGTCTGTTACCTCAGCAGAAGAAGCCCTTGCCCGGGTTTGCAGATTTGCCTGCG